AATCAGTAGAAACATTGAGTGACGGAAGTGTAAGTGTTTGCGCCAATTTCGCACTCAATAGCTCAAGCTTATTCTTATGTTTAGTAGGACTAGCCTGGCCGATATCCATGTCCATAAAAGACACATACTCAAATACCGACTACTTGAGAAACTTTATATTTTCCTCTGAAAAAGCAGAAGGATGACTGGTTGAAGTAGGGCGAGGCGTCTTGACTTGTCCCCAGGAAGTAACAAGTTCTGGATAGAACGCACAATGTCATCAGCACCCTGCAAAGAAAAATGCCAACATTGAGGACTTTCACTACAATAAACGAAGCAAAAATGAAAGTGAAGCAAAATGTTACCTCATCAACAATCTTGGGAAGTTCAGGCATATCACCAGTTGGCTCCACCACCTGTGGGGACTTCCCCTTATCTGGGCAAGAAGACTCTGCCACAACGGGCAGGCCCATGGGAGCCTCTGCATAATTCAAGAAGTAACGAATCAGAAGCCAGTAGCACAAGCAAAGGTAAAACATCAAAATATGTATTACCTTCTGGTTCGACGTTTGGGGGGTCGGCGCCCTGGGAAAAAGGTGGCCCTTCTACTGGTTGTGATGAAAGTTCCGGGACCAAGGGTTTCTCTTTAAGTATAATCCCTTCATCAGCTGATTTGGACGAAACAACTTCAGCAGAAGATGATGGAGCAGGAGCTGCCAAAATCAAAGCCTTCGAAGGAGTAGGCTGAACTTTTCTGAGAAATTCAGGTAAACCATTAGTACATAGAAAAGTATGTTTGTGAATAAACAAATTCAATTACCTTTCTCCTAAGGATGAGAGGAGCGTCATCATCATCATCTTTATCATCCTGCAAAATGGGAGATGCTGAAGCTGGCCGTAGCATTAGCAGGTAGAGAAGCAGATGGATGGATAGAATGTTTACCGCGAGCAGGGGAGGAAGGATTCCTAATGGACACAGGGGTGACTAAAATAGGAAAAGTAGAGGGAGTGCCTGGCTGGTCCAGTAAATAGAAGGCACGATTAGCATCAGTGGCAAACAATCGGCGTTTTACTAATAGCCAAAGCTGTTCAAAAAGAGGATGGACGACACAGCTAGAATTGAAAAGAGTTAATGAAAATTTGCTCGTCAAAAGAATGTTGCGAGCATCTATAGCTTGTGCCTCTGCCTTATTAATAGTGTGAAAGCAATCTGTCAAATTTTTGGAGTAGCAAGGAGGAACAGGCCAAGTTGGGCCAAAACCAAGTTGGCGAACAAAAAATTGGGGAGCATATATTTCAACCCCAGCTTTGGCATTGGTTCCAGTTAAGATATCGTGGAACAATTCCCTCCCAATCAAAAACTGAACCCAAACAAGCAGAGAGGCACTCGTACTGTCTAGGGTGGATGGAGGTTGCACATAATCTGGAGTCAAGTGAGCAGGAAAAAGAAAGAAGGAAGGAATCGAATTTAAGGTATAAAAGAATGAAAAAATGTCTCTACTGGACATATTTACAGGGTTCAGTGGATCAATGGCTAGCCCATAACAGCTAGCAGAACGAAGGAAAATGGATGGAGCACCAAGTGGTGAAAAGTATGCTCTCAACCACAGTTGGGTGAACCAAAGGGGCCCACTGCCAGTGGGAGATGCACCATTCTTCAGTTGAAATTGAAGGGAAGTCATGCCTCTATAAAGGGCAGCTAAAAAGAAGGAACGTAAGTTCAAAGGCCTACCACGCGCCAATTCATACGCTATGGGTAAGTAGCTCATAGAAAGTTTCATACTTGGCACGCAGAGAATATATTTACAAAGCCAAATCTGAAGAAAGGCCACACGCTCAACATAGAAAGGTTCAGCGCTTGAGTGATTATAAAAGTCTTGCAAGCTTGAATAGGACTCAGTAAGTTTCTTGTCAAATTTCGAGGCAACACTGGAAATCAAGATACCAGGAAAGATGGTATCGCCCAAAGACGGAAGATTTATTAGGGCTCCAACATCCCTTAAAGTAATAGACATGGGACCAAGAGGGAAAACGAAGGTGTTATATTCAGAAGACCAAAAACTCAAAGCAATAGGAAAAAGCATTGGGTCGAAAATTGGGGGTTGAAGAGTGATTTCTAATAAGTCTGAAATCCTAGCATGATCAAAAATCGCCTTGGTAGGGCCATGATTCACAAGACGTGCATGCCATCTACGAAAAATAGCATTAGTTTTGGGCCAAGTGCGAATACCTTTTTAGCGAATTGGTCTCAATGGCAGAGAGTTCAGGAACCGAGGACCTTGAGTGCAAAGGAACAGCTGGCCCACCGCCACTTATCCAACGGCTTCGGCATTATTGAACGATGGACCCAGATAAAATTCATTGAGATCAGCATTAGCTTGTGCAAGGAAGTTTGGATTTACATACGGCCTAATAAGGATTTTATGAAAATCTTCGAAACTAAAAGAATCATCAGATTGAGTTTGTGAAGTCCCCATTGGGAACAAAGTACAGTTTCACTAAGGTTTGCCTAAGAAACGTAGCAGAGAAGCAAGAAGATGAACAGTAAAATAGCGAGGAGGAAGCACGAAATATAGAGACGTGGTTTAGTGGTGCAAAGAAATGGCGTCTTTTAGGTTTATAAGGGTTTGTAACGTTGCACCTTTTCAAGCTGTAGAAAGAAAAAATGATTGAAATTCTTAGGAATTTCAAATATTGTTGAAAAATACAAAGTGAATATGACAAAGATTAACAATTGGTATTAATTCTGTCATATTGATGGGTAATTGTTGACATACTAAAAGTGCAGCCCAAATCAAATGGCCCAAAGAGTGAAGCCCAATTGGGGAATCCAGGATAAAGGTCCAAACAGGATTCTTGATGAATACGGTGGAAGTCCACGAACACGGTAACATCATCGCCCAATTTTGCAAGGCGCCCAGAATCTGAGCGAATGGAGTACCTTACGGTCGCCCAGAGCGATGACCCCGTTCTCACCCAAACCTTCGAATCACCCAGGATCTTAGCAAGCATAAAACATTATGGTTATCTAGAATAGTAGTTATTGAAACAGTTATTAAGTGATCTTATCACATTCCACGATTCAAGGAGTCCAGTTGAAGGCGGTTGAATGACAACGAGTAATGGCAACAGTTAGAGACGGCAGTTCCACGACAAGTTAGCCACCATAAAGAAAGTGGGTAGTTATGCAAAAATCAAGCAGTTTCCAAACGATTTGTCACGAATAAATCATCAAGAGAATATAAAAGGAAGAGAAGACATAGAGAAGAAATGACGAATCAAACACTCTCAAACATAGAATATGTAATTTTGATTTCTTAGTTTAAACTTAAACACTTCTTTTAGTACTCGTGTGCTTGCACCCCTTGAAAGCAGTCTGTTTATTTCCAATTGTAAATCATCGCTAATAAAATACTCCTTTTGAGACTTTGTCTCAAGAGATCTATTCCTTACACAATCGTCAGATCCCTTTTAAATTGTTAGCGACTACCGCGCGAAACAAGAACAATTCAATATTTTTGTAAGTTTGCTAATTGACAAGAAGTTCACATTGAAAGTATTTTCGTATTTGTGTTAAGTATCATATTGCCTTCTGACTTGACAGAAGTTCTAGTTCCATTGGGCATTAGAACACTAGTGCTGGTAGGTTTAGAAGGATTTCGCATTGAAGTATGTGTATTGGTGATGTCAGTGGCTCCACTATCCAATATCCAAAAGTTTGACATATCCTGTTTATGATTGAAGGATAAACATATAATTCATTTTTGACCTCTGTGAAAATTGGAGCTTCGAGTTCCACTCCTGCCTCTTGAGAAGTCCACTCTTGCCTCCTGAGAAGTGAGGTTTGCTCTGGTGACTCATTTTTCGTTCTTTTTGTTGGTATTTCATGATAATCATTCATCACATTTAACAAAACAAAATAAAATAAAAATTAGATTAATCAACTATCAATTATATTAATAATCTTAAATCAGGCAGCCAAGTGTGGCAAGAGAGAGACTTGAGGGTAGGGATGACCCCCCCCCCCCCCCCAAAAAATAAAAATAAAAATTTGATACCCTCGAAGTCCATCTCAGATCAGACGGAAATTACTCATCTAATCGAGTAAACAGGACGAGCCATTGCCTTGAAACAACTATAGAGTACGGGAAACATGAACTATTTCTCTCCAGAACTCATAGACTAATTTTGACCAACAAAATCGTTGTGGCTGACGCCAAAAATTGTGTCTACACTAGACGAAATTCCTTACTTCGCCCTTGGGTAGAGGTGAAGAAAAAATTTTGTTGCCACAGCAAAATCGAGACAATCTGCAACATATATTTGGATGCAATTATGGACTTACGGACCAACACAATCCTTTTGCAGAATTTTCGTATTTGACACAAGGTTTTGTTGTTCTTCCAAAACCAGCATGGCTCACCTTGTTTAATTATTATTAATATTATTTGTATTCATAGATACAATTTAAATTTAAACATAAAATTAAAAATAAAATAAACGTGAGACGGGCTTTGAGAACAATGCAGGCTGGCCGGAAATTTCATCATTCTACCGGCCACATGAACCCCTAGGACTGGACCGAACACGACGAAACTTCAGAAGCAAGATGGCTCACGGGACACAACCCATACTGAACTAGGCCTTAACTCAACCAAGATGCACTTGTTCCCAGCACATTTAAGACATTCAGCTCCTTTACTACCATTTATTTCTAAAATTTGGAAATTCAGTTTTTATTTATTTTGACTATATTTTGAAATAGACCCAAGATGGTATAAAGTAAACGAATATGATAGATTATCACGCAGAAATAGAGAAAATGGCGATATGGTATCACATTGCATTTAGTTCCCCCACCCCCCACCACCCAAAATAAATTATTATTCTTAAAAAAGAAGTAAAATAACGATAATTCTACAAAATTATCAAATAATTACCCTAAAAACATTTGAATTCAATATTTAAGGATATCATTTTATGCATGATCAGTTCCTGAATTCAATAGCTTTAGATTTATATACATGAACAATCACAATACGATATACTTTCAATTCATTTCAATTTCACTATTTCAAGAAATCACATTCGATATGTTATATTCGACCGTATTTAACACGTGACGTATCTGTTCATTGTCTAATTCAACAGAATAAATATGCCCAAGGTTTCTAACTGAATCCACCCCACCCCTTTTTCCTCCTAACAAAGAATGCTTGTTAAACTGATATTTTACCAAATGAGGTCCCTGCTCACAAGGCCGTTTCCACTTCTTTCTACGTACCTATAAGCAAAGAACCTTTTGATGCCAAGAGAATTTCATTTTCACTGAAGGCTCAAATAGAATCAGCCTAGGCGTTTGAGACACAACATTAAGGCATCCGTGTGCTCAGGCTTGCCAACAGACACTCGGACATAACCAGACAGTTCTTTATTATTGTAGTGACGAATCATAATGCCCATTTTCGCAAGGTCTTCCTGTAAGAAGCAGCAGTGTCAACACAAGTTCTTTCCCCCAACAGAAATGAAAGAAAACACAAAGCAAAAGAGGCAACAGATGTGCAATGATTCTTAATTGTATTTGCATTTCATTCAATATAGTTTCTGAACTTAAAAACCAATTAGCTTGGATTTAGAAATCAAGGTCAAGGGAATAATAAAAAAGAACACAAAAATAAACCCAAGAAGAATTCAGTTCCAGAACGCAAAGGAATTAAGGAGAAAACAAAAACAGAATATCTCAACAAGAACTCTGAAAGCAAGGCAAAGTTTAGTACCTTCAACTTCTTAGCATCCATTCCTGATGTAACCTCACAAAGAATGAAATTAGAATAGCTCGGATATGGATTGAGAAATGGTACTTCTTTCAAAAGTTTAAAGAGTCTCTCCCTTTCTAGCACCAAAGCCACTTTAACATTCTGGAATAGATTACGTAATAAATATTGGCATTCTAAGTCAAAGATTGCTACTTTAACTCTCAAGGTCATCAAATAAGAGGCTAATTGCCAGACTAGTGTTTGTTCTTGTACCTCTAGATACACAGGATTCGTCAAGGCTGCACATGCAGAAATTTCAGCAGCAACGGACACGTTATATGGTTGCTTAGCCCTCCATAAATATTCAATAATGCTGAATGGAAATGCTCCATATCCAACTCGAATTCCCGCTAAACCTGAATCACCAGATATTAATGATAAGCGTGAGTGATCTCAAATTCACACATACACGTATCATAATATATTACATATAATATGTTTTCTTAACCTACTGAGAACTGGAAGCATTCTGAATCAGTAACTAGCTATCCATTAGGTGTGTGTGAATCAGTAACTAGAATATATAGCATGCTTAGCTCTTTCAAAAAAATCATAGTTACTGATCTCAAATATTCAATAATGATCAATGGAAATGCTCCATATCCATTTGGTTAGATCTCAAATTCTACTTACTGATTCATTTGGTTCTGAATCAGTAAATAGATATCCATTAGGTTCTCAAATTCAGAGGCAAGAACCTAGTGAAGCTATCCATTGGAACTCAAGAATGAGTAACTAGATATAGAAGTGTTGAATTCAAGAAGTCGGTTCAAATTTTGGTGTCATTTGGAGGTGCATTTAATTCAGAGCTGACTACCATTAGTTTAGGAGGTTTGGTATCAGTTTCTTGAGGATTCCTTACATTTCTGAATGCCATATTAGCAACTTCATAAAATCATTATAATTTATTGCGTGGTTAACTTGAATCCCTAAGCCATGCTCAAACTATGTTTTGGATTCTTATAAGGTAACTGTTCTACCAAACAAGTCTTAGTAACTTATTCAATTAGTCTTATAGTTTATACATTAGAGAGTAAGTACCAGATGGCATAGGGTATTAGTTGGAACCTACCTATGAGCCTCTAATATTCCATAATCCATTTCAAAATTTATAGCATGCTTAGCTCTTCCCAAAATAAAAATTATAGTTTTACAGCCTTTGAAGCTTCATTTATAAGATGTTAGCTCTTTGAAATAATAAGGTACGGTACCAGCTCTTTTGCTGAATGTCCGAAGTACAATTAGATTCTCATATTTCTTCACCCAGCTCATCCTAGACTCAATTCCAGAAAATTCAATGTACGCTTCATCCAGCACAACCAATACTGGCAGAGTAAGTATTTTCAACAGGGTTTCATCATTGATTATACTGCCAAACAAGAAAAAAAAATGTACGTTGGAATATATGAAATGCAAAAGGAAGACAACTTGATAATTTAAATCTGTCCATAATTATAAAGGGTGGGGGAGGGGGGTGGAATCAGACAGACGGCAAAATAGTAATTAAGCAACAACTTCATATAATTACACAAGCCACAGATTCACTCAAAATTTTTGAACTTTGGAAGTAATGTTAAACCACCCATAATCTATAACATGGACCATATAAAACAATTTGATCATTGTTCATGGAATTGTCTTCTTATTCAACTTCCTATGAAGCATGGTAATATCTAATAAAAGAACTCAGATATTAACCATTAGAAACATACTCGTAAGAATGTACATGCAGTTCCGTATAACAGCACTTGTCTTTTCCTATTCTGAATTTTAAACAACCGTAGCTCATAATGGTTATTGATAAGAGTGCTTGTAATTAGAGGATTTAGCAAAGGAAAGAAACAGTAAATTTTTTTGGGATTTTCTGTATTTTATTCAATAACAAACCTAACTGGAGATAACAAAGGAATTGAAAGATAACAATCCAGCACTTCGAAAAGCCGGCAGTCTCCACAATAATATCCACTAATTTTTCCTCCTTATCCCTCCCTTCCTCTTCTCTATTTATAACCTATTTGTAACCACTTATCCCGGCCAGCTGGACTAGTTAACAGAATCTGTTGTATCTGCAGAATGGTTCTCACTTCTTCCAGGCTTTTCTAGAATATACTCGTTTCAGGTTCTATCAGTTATATCCCCTCATCTCATTCTACTTCTAGCTACAAACACTTCTAAGGTGCCTATGGTCAGGGTTGGATGCAGAAGGGGAAACTTTTTGCTTGTAAACTATTGTCAACAAATATATTACTCCTGCCTATTTTTCGATGGGTCAATATTTTAGGTACATTATAAAACTCAATTGCCAAGCCCCAAATTTAATATAAATAACGCCTAGTTTGTTGTTAAAATTAATATTCAATTATAATTTCTGAAAAGGAACATACTAGTATTCCAAGGCATCGAATTTGTTTCCTGCCCACTAGTAGTCATGCAAACAATAGATATTCATAGAGCAACATAATGGTGATTACTAAAAACTCATACCATGTCAGAGCAGACACCTGAAACAACATAAGTACTAAGAAACATATTGGCTGAGAATATGTTTCGTATTAACAAAAATAACTTAAAACTGGAATACGTGGCATGTGATTAACAGAGGAAAAAAAATGTCACAGAAAACGAATACATCAAAACTAAATGACCGTACATACAGTGCTCAAAGGATGGTTTAAAATTTTAATAGCAAAAAACAAGAGAAAGCATCGAAAAATAAAAATGGACTCATCAAATGGCACCTCCCATCTGGATTATTAGGTGAAGTTAGGAATATGCACTTAGGTCTCTCCTGCTCAACAACTTCAGCAATCTGTTCTACATCCAAGCTGAAGTCTAACTTCCGAGACACTGCCAAATGTGAGGATATTGAATGAGCATGAAACAGTTTGGCTCAAATTGCCAAATCATTAGTTTTTTGAAAATAAATAAATAAAAATAAAAAATCTGCAGATAACATATCTACATCAACATTTCTGTTTTGAACCTCATTTTATTTTAATTTGAACTACTGGTAAGATATCAGGCATAAGGCCAGGAAAATGAGAACATCAAGGATAACTGAGAGAGAGGGACTTGTATAAAAAATCAAACCATCCACATATAAGACGAACAATCAGACTCAAAGTAAGAACTTAAGGTAGATAAGATATGAAATCGACCCAGCTTGGACCTACCCTTGATGACGCGTGCAGCATTAACTGCTGCATCAAACTCATACATCGTAAATGTTGGTGGGCAGTCCACGATTTTGTCGCCAGGATCCAATACGCATCTGCAGGCAAATAAAAAGACAGACGTACATACAGAACACTTCGTAAAACTGAATCTACATAATATAAAAATAAAAAGACATACACAAATTTCAAAAACCACAGTGCCCGAACCGCATAATCAAGTCAATCAGTTCATCTGCACCACACCCAGCAAGAATATATTCAGATTCAATGCCTGAATCTTCAGCAAGTGCAGCTCGCAAACTACGGCTTTCAGGGTCAGGATAAATATAAGGGAATCTCATGGACCCCAAAGCTTCTAAAACCTACAAGAAATTGAAATATTGTTAAAAAATATGCGCATAGAAAATTGAAATCTGCGCAAGAGATATAATTTCATATCTAAAATTTGAACTTGTAATATTTGCTATTATCCATAAACGAGGACTTTATTCAACATAAGCCTTGCCTCTGGAGGTGGACCATATGGGTTTTCATTCGCATCAAGTTTTACGATATCTTCAGGCTTCCTACCAAGACGAGTAGACAATACCTGCATGTATACCATCAACTTTGGGATAGAAAATAAAGAACAATGAAATCATCCCGACAAATAGCATGGCATTTGTTTGAATATAATCAATCAACTAGAAAACAAAAATATTTCAAAGGGTTAATAGGAGCACAACATGAATTCAACAGATACAGGGCATGTACAACAATGGTAAGAAACCAACTCATGGATTTAAAATGAGTCAAGTAACAAGGAATTGAATGTTTACATTATCATTCATTTCATCAACATTCTCATAGTGTTTTTCATATATACAAATTTTAAAAGGAAATTTAGCAAAATCAAAATGCACAAATTACAAGTCATATTAATTGGCAAAAATAACAAAATCAAATCTTTTTTGTATGCCCCCATTTTCTTTAGTCTCCTATCTATCTTTAATTTTAGTGAGGAAAAATAAAGCAACTGATGGAGTAACAGTTTCCACTTTCCATGAGTCATTCCAAGGAAAGCTAGTTTAGGGGAGAAATTTTCAATTTTGTACGGTCTCCTTTGATTAAAAATTTAAAAGTAACTTGCATTACAATTGCACACGTCTAAAAAACAACACAAAGGAAATCAAGCAACAGTTGTACACATGAATTGAACACAAAAACCAAGCACCAAATCAAAACATATGATGATTCGAATGCGGTAAATACTTCAAAAAGAGAAGAAAACAAAGTTAAATGCTTTACCTCAAAGGGCAGGATGGGCTGATATGGGGATAATTTGCGGAGATGAGGCCGAATAAACGAATCTCCAGTCACCGAGCAGCCCAGATTCTCCCGACTCTCCTCTTTTATAGGCACAGAGGAAGCCATATACGCAATTCCACTCCTCCTCAGTTTTCCTTCCACTGAAAAGCAACTGGAACCAACTCTGAGGCTGGGTCTATCAATGCAAAGAGACGAAGGATTGCAGAACAAATCAATCGCGGCCATTAATGACGATTCCCTTGCAAAATTATTTTTACCTTTCTTGAGCAGGAAAAAATGGAAATCCTGATTTTCCTTTTTTTCCAAATTTTAAATGATAAATAAGAAGAGAAATGGAGAAGTGGAAGAACCCTAAACCCCTTGGTAGCAGCCAACGCTTCTTACACACTCCGCTTTGCTAGCATACAAAAAGATTCGTTTTTTATTTCTGATATTTTCCGTTTAAGTCCTCAACATTTGCGAAATATAGAACATCTACTTTCAACCTTGTTTGTTAACCTAATTCATCCATATTTAAGTGATTCTCTCCTTTCATATATTTTAGGAATTTCCTCAATTTAGGGAGGGTATTGGCTGGTGTTTGCTCAAATATTCCAAGAACTGAAATTTTTCATTAAATTTTGAATATTTTATAAATGGAATCATTCAATTTCAAGTAATTGTTGGAATTGAACCGGAAATGATGATTTTAGTTGGAAAGGTTTAGTTTGAGTTAAAATGTTCATTCCTAGGGCTGGGCAAATATTTCGAACCGAACCGAATCTAACCCGACGATTCTTGTCAAATTAAATACTCGAACGGGTATCTGAATTGAGAACCGACGGGTACGGTTCGGTTCTCAGTTCTAGACCAAGACCCGAAAAATCGAATAAGAACCGAATCTTTCTAATTTTTTTTTATATTGAGTAAATCAAATTATTTTAATTTCAATTTTTTCTAAACAAATTAACAAATTAATGATTTCTAAATCCAAATTTTTGGCCCAATAATTTGTTTCGTTTCTAATTTTTTTATTTTTGGCCCAATTACCTATTTTATTGTTTCATTTCTTAGCCAAACAAGATCAAATACACTAAATAACCCTAAACACCAACACTAAAGTGCATAACGTTGTCTCGACTCTCGCACTCACTCTGCAGCCTCACTAATATTCCAAAACCTATACAATTATTGGTCGACCTGTGACCTCCGATCGAAGCTGTGACATTCGCCAACCGAAACTTTGATCGTAGCGATCATTTGAATAAGGTAGTTTACTAGTCTCTGACATTCCAAAACCATTGAATGTATCATTAGTTGTATTTATATAATGTTGTTATAAATGTTAAAATTTTAATTATAGTACAGAACCGAACCGAATGGAACCGAACCCGAATGGTTCCATAATTATATTTGGACCCGACGGTTCCATTTACTAGATACCCGAAAATTTCGGTTCGATTCGGTTCTAAACCGACCCGCGCCCACCCCTATTCATTCCTAGTATGCGACTCAATTCATGTATTTCAAGAATCGAAAATATCCATCAAACTTAAACATTTTTGCAAATGTAGTCGTTGTGGTTGCATGTAGCTTTCGAAACCAAATCGAAATCGAATGTTCTAATTTGGGTTGGATTTTGATTAAAATGCTCACCTACCCCAAATTCAATTGTTGCGTATTCGAAAGGAAAAAACCTCTGCACAAGGCCTGTACAGGTACACACACATGAGGGGTGGACTCCACATGTGCCTGTACAAGGCATCTCACATGGGGGTGGACCCCATGTGTGTGTACCTGTACAGGCTCTGTGGTGTAGCACAGCCCTATTCAAAATTGCAAATTCTTTGTGCGCGCATTGTGGTATAAACTTAGCTCTCATAGCTATCACATTATTGCAGCCATTTAGTGACAATTGGCATACGTCTAGTTGGATACAATGAATATAACTCTTATTAGAACAAATCAAATATTTAGTAAATTTTAATAAAAGTTAATGAAATGTACGATTAAAAGGTTTTGCATCCCATAAAACGTGTAATTAAAATTAATTATTGATTTTAATTTATCTTGAACCAAACAGAGACATAGTTGCATTAGTGCAAAGACGAGCAACATGCTGATTCTAAAAGAATATATGAAGAGGCCCATATACAGAACGCGTGATTCCAAAAGAACATTTGAAAAGGTCCGTATACAATACGTCTGCTTCAATGAAGCAAAATTAGTTCCATTGAAAATCATTTTCATTTCAATGATCTTCTTAAAATTATTCAAAACATGTTAAAATGACGACAAGTATTAGCAAATTATTTTTTCTCAATAAATTTAATATCCAATGCACGAATTTTTTAATCATCATTCCAATCTATTCATAGCTGTATTTTTCTATTTAATCAGTAACTTTACTAAAACAGATCTACTGCATGTATAGATAATGGCTGCCAGAATTCCACCAGAAGACATTTGGCAACAATCTGTCGTATAATGGCAAAAAAGAAAAAAACAGACAGACAGACGAACGGGAACCAGATGTTGCCACAGCAGTATTTGGTTGATTTCTGGCAGCAATTCCACAGCAATTGCTGTTACTAAAATGCCCAAAAAGTAAAGCATGTATAAAAGAACAGAGAGAGATCGAGGACTTTTTTTTTAATATACATATAAAAACAAGTACATTTAAATAAACTCTAAAAAGCTGATTAGCTAATGGGAACGATGGGTATTGATCTATTTTACGCAGCCAAAATTCGACATTAGTGCCTTTTCAATATATATAAAGATTCGTGTGTGCATCAGTTCTTGGGATTTCCAGCTTCGATGTGTCGGTATTCATAACCTTCCTCGGTAATGCTAGAAAAGAACCTGGCATTGGAATTTTGTCCTTCGGTTTTCCTCCAAAACTTTGGACTCAGAAATTCTGCTCCAGGTATCAGACAACATGTGTTTCCACTAGAATCACTGCTCGGAGTTCTTCGAGTTGAAACAGCTAAATCATGTGACATCTCGTCTAGCACCTTCTCCAGACCATTTACTCTTTTTTCCAACGAATTCATTCCCTTCTGAGAGCTTCCAATAAATCTCTGGTATAAAAAAGGCCATAGTTGAAATCAGTATTTGGCTTCTAAAACTTAAGTCATTCAATAAGCATAAAATACAAATAGTAAACACGGGAAATTAAGCGCTTGTCTAGGAGCAATTCTTAAACAATTTTAATTAAGAACTAATGAAATAGTCTTTATTACCCTGTTAAATGTTAGAATTACTCGTACACATTTCCTCAACCGTCATATTTGACTATTCCCGGAGGGCAAACTTCGCAATGCACAATAAATACAATTATGGCCACAGTATTTTGTCCGAGAGATGTCAGATGCCAACGATAAAAAAAATGATTAAAATTGCTCACGAATTGCTCCCAGACATGGGCTAAGTCTTCAGCAAAACATTTTAACACGAAAGAGTTTGAAAACAAATAGCAATTAAAGGACGTTGTAAGAATAATTCAGAAGTCCAAAAGACTTCAGTCACAAAATTTCTCCCTCCAATTCTTCTATGTGCCAATTCCCATTTTCTTTCCGACTCTATTCTTCGAATTTCAACGAATCATAAAAAATTATCCATTTTACTTAGATTGACCCATGCAAACAATAACCGCGAAGGAAACAAAGACCAGGGTTTGTTCATGAAATCTGATCAATATGCTGAATTAACATATACAAATCCAAGAAACGAGCAGGCTTCCAATGTAGAAGCTAAAAGTTTAACCAACAATGACATATTTCTTTCCTCTCGAGTAAATTTTATCGGAAACAAAAAAACACACGATTATATAAGGTACAACAAAAGACGAGAGTAGAACCTGGAGGAGTTCCAACAAACTAGATTGCTGGTTTTCAATTTGTACAAGCTGTTCCCTAATCAATGATATATCCTCGAACTCTTTTTGATCGCCAAGATTGCATTCATTAGCCTTGTCGGCAGCCATATCTAATGCGTTATCGTCATTCCCATTACAAGGAACCACACGAGACCGAAAGTTTTTCCTGAAATCAACCTTACTCGACTTAGAAGTAATCCTGTTTTCACTTTTTACAGCTCTTTTCTCATTGCTGGCGGGAGAAGAACTGCTAGATGTAGGCGACCTGCTTGTCAGCGTTTTCTTTACTCGAGGAGTCATCGAGCCTCTATTAACGGGACTAGTGGAAATCCGTACGGGGGAGCGTTCGCCACTTCCACTATCTGATTCACAAAAAACTAGGTTTCATTTCAAAAATATACATTCGAGCCGTAAGTACTATCTTGAAAAGGAATTCAGCAGAAGCGTAAAATTAAAAATGTTGTTGTACATCAAATTTTAGTTACTTGTTCATTGTAGATATTTCTTACCTTGGAATAGAACTACTTTGTGAAATGAACAAGAAATCATACAAAAATAAAATTAGTCAAATATTTTACCCCTTTTATATTGAATATAACCGAATTTCGTTCATAATTAACATAGAAACAAAACTTCACTATCACCACGGTGATCAAATTCATCAAACATTAGACTAAGGAAAAGGAAAACGGACGGAAAAATAGAAATTATCATTTACCTTTTGGAGTAGATTCCTCTTCGTATACTGCTGGAACATCTCTCCACATCTCTAATGCCCGATTCATTGTCTCCCTCACAACTTTCACCTGTTACATCGAAGAAAAAGAAATAAAGAGTGAGAATCAAGTTTTTTTTTCTCTGTATGTTTGGTCACCCTTATAAGTAGCTTTTAAGCAGTATTCTTGGATGCTTTTTATGCGCTGCCAGAACAGGTCTAATAATATAATTCCATAATCTCAAATTTCACGAAGTGATTATTGATTATAATTGAGGAAATATATATATAATTTACCTTGTCAAATCTTCTGATGTCCAATGTAGCTACACAAGAAGCCTTAAACTCCGGTAACATATTTGTCTCCGCTGTGGCCAGCCTCTCTAAAACCTCCGCCGCCGCTTTTCTGGTGGCCCAATCATCACTGCTCAAGAGCTCAACAGTGGTCGAAATCAAACAATTCAATAAATTCTTGGTTTTAGCAGCCCCAACGCTCACAATGCTGCCAATGAGCACTAACAAAGCAGATTTCGCTCTAAAACAGTCACTTTTCACTAATTTCAACAGCCTCTGCAAGAGCGTTTTCAGCTCCGCCATGTCGGGTTCCTGCGCCGCCCCCACAGCGGCAGCTAGGCACAGCGAAGCACCGATCTGTGAGTTTTGGTCTTGTTCGTGGAAAAGAGCGTCTACAAGGGGCTTGAGAATGGCAGAGAAAGGAGGCTTTGTTACGTGGGTAGTAATGGAGGTTATTGCACCGACACAGGCGGAGCGGACTGTGGAGTCGGGGTCTCGGAGGCGGCGGAAGACAGAGGAG